TTATTATGCTAACATTGTTGATGCTTCTTCTGCTGTAGATGCAAATACTCCTTCAAGTTCAGTTTTTACATCTGCATCCGGTGCTATGGAGGATAATGATGGTGTTGAAGATTATTAAACTTGGTCTATAATAGGAGAGCATCAAAAACCAGTAGCAGGAATATTGATGAACTCCAAATTCTACTTGCAAAAGGCAACAGAGCCCCCCATAAAGGAATTTCTACCGTTGGCTTGGTGGAGGACCAACTCAAATCAATTTTCTGTTCTTTTTTCCATGGCTCGAGACGTGCTAAATGTGCAGATTTCAACAATTGCCTCAGAGAGCACATTTATCCAAGCAAGGCAGCAACTAGGAGATACCCGTCATTCATTGGATAGAAACTCTTTGGAAATTCTAGTGTGCTTCAGAGATTGAATAAGATCTGAACGGTGAAATCAAGGGCGTGAAGAGGTAGATGAAATGGAGAACCAAGAAATTGGAGATATAATGGTTTATGGTTCGATTCAAGCAATGCCTGAAACCAAAAACATCAGGTTGATGTGGATGAACTTACAAAAATGATGCAAAGCATGTGCTTTACTCTTTCTTATTTTTTTTATAATAGTTGTAAACTTTTATTTTGCAAGTTAAAAAAAAAAAATTAAAATAAAACTTGCAAACTAATTTGTAGTATTCTTTATTATGCAATGAAAATATGAAATGAAAGCCTTTGATGTTGATCCTTACATATTGGTTTTATTAAATATTTTTATGTAGCCACTTAATTTCAATTTTAAAATTTTAAAATTCAAAATTCAAATTTAAAACTTTAAACTTTAACGTTTAAAAGTTTAATTTTATGCCTTAAAATACTTATTTTATTATTTAAAAGTTTACAAACACTTAAGTATCAATTACAATGAATAAGGAAATAAACATAATACACTATTTTTTTTTAACCCGGCCCAATCTGGATCCAATAAGCCCGAATCTGTATGGGCCCAATTTAACCTGAAATTCCAGCCCACTATTAGCCCGATTACCCAGCCCACTACCTAGCCCGTCCCACTAACCCGACGGGCTATTTTTTTCATGTTCAGCTCGGACCAGCCCGTCCGGTCAACACCTCTAATTTCTCCTCAAGAAAACTACACTTGTAAGTGCTTTTTAAAAATTTGGTTAAACATTAACTCAATAATCAAACACAAATTGCTTCTCACCAAAATACTTTTGAAAAATACGCTTAAAATAAGTTCGATTTTAAAAATTTGGCCAAATAGGCCATTAGTTAGTCGAAATAAGGGGCAGTAATGTGCTTGCTGAAAGTACCACATATACAAAAAGCTTTACACAAAAAGAAAACACATTGGTCCAAATCTTCTGGAAGTCACGTGCCTATTGTGTTTCTCCCAATTCCCTCAGAAATCAGAATACACAATGCATTTTCCCCAAAATATAAAACATCCTCCACCGTCAAATCACACATCGTTCTCCTCATCACTGCCGTCCGATCACTCACACGTGCCGCAAACAACCTCTTTTATCTCTTCCCTCTCCTAAAACATAGTCGTAAAACTCAAAAACTCCTCCAGCTCCCACGTCAAAGCTAGGGTTCTATTCGGTCGTCAAATTCCACAGCGGCAGGTTCAATTCCGTCTTCACATTCGTAGAATTTTATTGTAGTTCTCAAATAGTTGCTTCTGTTTTGCAATTTCTTTGTATATACATATGTGAAATTTGTAATTTTTGTTGATGAATTTTGATTTGGTTTTACAGTGGAGAAAAAAGTATGGAGAAGGAGCTAATTGAGCTGTTCGAGACGGTAAAACGAGCCGCCGACGCAGCTGCTGTTGACGGCGGTGCAGATTCGTCACCGGAGGAGAGTAGGTGCATTGACGTCTTGAAGCAGCTTAAGAAGTTCCCCGTCAATTATTCAGTCCTCGTATCTACACAGGTAACAATATATTTTTTCTTTGCGTTTTTAATTATACTTTTTTAATTTATTTAGAAGGTAATTTGCAATATGCGTGCGTGATTTTGGATACACAAGGTTCTGCTTGCGTGCAGTTGCAAAGTTTCAAACTTTGAAAAAAACTGAGGTGATTTGAATTTTCTTTTTTGAAGTGATAAATACACATAGAATATGTCACACACCAAGTGGTCAATGAAGTTGGAACAGTCCACAGGAGATTAGGGTTCAAATCGTAGCGGAGGGAAAAAACACTAGTTTCTCCCATCTTTCTAAGTCTTTGGACAGAGTTACCTACACCTCTGGTGGTGGGAGTTAATGTGGATTAGTTAAGGCGCATGCAAGTTGGCAGGTTACCATAAAACCAAGACTTCTCCAATTATGATGTTTGACGTCTGAGGAGATTAACGTGGTGTTTGGTTAGAAAAATTGCTTCTTTCTGAAAGAAGTTAAAATTTCTTCCCCGAAGTGGGAAAATAAATATGCAAAAAACTTTGCAAACAAACAAATCAGAAAAACTGAAATTAAGATTTGCAAACTTGTACATTCAATTTTCCAGCGAAACACCATATAGTTAAAATAGAGCAGAATAAATCTGATAAAGATAATCCCCTCTGTAAGAGAGAAGTCTTATTCGGATATGTTAAAAACGACCAGGTCTTTGGCATAAAAATCTATTTTAGATTAATTCCTAAATTTTTCTGCATGACTTTCCAAGTTTGTTTCTTCTTTTCTCCTT